ACGACATTTCTTTGTGATTACTCTTGAACACCTATTTTTGTGTGTTTTTAGGGTAGAATTTTCCAACTTTAGCCAAATTCTGTCATTTTTCTCGAAATGGAAATAAGGAAATATTCTTCAGTGTAAGCAAAAAACGGTTTAAAATGATGAAATGTGCACAAATGACCAGATAAATCCAATTAAACTGTAATAATCAATCTAAAAACATAATTATTTTGAATTTTCTCAGTTTTCATGTGAATTTTCTGGTTTTTCTTGTCTCTACGCGATGAAAAATATGAATTGGCGTCAGATGTCAACGTTTGAAACGTTTCATGTCTCGCAGAAAATAAATTCACTTCTTTCATAAATGTTATGAGTCACATTAATAACTTTTTCAGCGTATTTAAAGTGTTATGAATTTAAAGTTGCAACGACCGCTCAATTTAACAATCGCCAGAGAGATTGTTTGATGAATTCAAGATGAACTCATATTGTTATTAACTGAGAATTGAAAATAAAATGTGCGAACATTTCTGTAATTTCTCTAAATTCAGTTCTCTTTGTGACACAAACGAAATGAAGCAGTTCTTAATCTCATATCTTTGTGAATTTATTTTCGGAACCTCTGGCAGAGCTGAGTGTGTAGGTGGAAATCAGAGTGAAGAGGCAAAAGGAATGCGAAGGAGTGAGAAATTCTGGAAAAGACAAACGAAACCGAGGACTTCTGCTCTCATCCTCTTAACAAATATTCACTCTACACTGAGTTTTTGCCGGCGCCCGACTATTTTCCATTGAAATGAAACCTTTTTGCAATATTTTCCCCACACAGAGAGCTTCTTCGCGCTCTTCGCCGTGGTGCCAATATTCGAATGAGATCCTCATCCCATGTGAATTTAATCTCCGAGATTTCTGTTGATTTTTCACTATTGGTTTGGTGTTTCCCAATTTCACGGGTATTGAAGATCTCTGTTTTCTAGAATGCTGCTGCTGTGCTGGAGAGTGTGAGGCTGGTTTTGGGGAGCAAAAAAAAACGGCTCACACGACCGAGATCCATGAAGCAGGAAAATTTAATTTCGCCATCAATATTTTTTCGCAAACAGAGACATGAATAAAAAATCATCCTTCCCAGGCGTGGTATGAAATATTCAGGCGGAAAGGCAGCGAGAGCGCAAAGCCTTGGAATAAACATGAGATAAATTAATCGACAAATGCAGCTGCCCAGAAAATGCTCCCAATCGCTCGCGGCGAGTTGATTTAACGGCCAAAATCCCATTCACGACAGAAATGGCTCTTCAAAGACGACACTGTGGGGGGCGGGGGGGCCACAATTGGGGGGGTGGGGAAGAGAGCTTCAGACAAATATTTGGGTTAAATCCAATGGAGATGCGACAAATTTTATCATTTGTATCCCATCGCAATAAAATCAAATCCAAACTTTTATGACAATCTCATGGCTGGGCAAAGCTTTGGAAAAACGATACGATTTTCCCTTGCAATTTATTTAGTGACTTCATGGGTGGGACAAGCTTGCCTTCGCAACCCCTTGTTTGGCGGTCGGGTAACTTTCAATGGGGCGCTTTTGCAACCTTATGTCTCGTGCTCTGACACTGACCAGAGGAAACTTGTTGAAATTGTTCAGCTGTCGAGCACGTCATTGTCCACTCATGTGAACACTCTCGCCAAGAAGGTGACTCTCCGGTATTTGTCTTCCACCCTTCAGCGAAAGCATGAGAAATTCCAATATTTCCTTCACGCTTTCTTCTTTCCGCAAATGCAGCGATTTCATATCCAAATTGTCGCCCTTCTGATAGTTCATGAGGACAATTAAAAATTCATTTAACTTATCTCTTGTGTGAGAGAAAGTCCCGTCGCACTAGCATTAACCTCAAGTCATTTGCTAATGTGGGTTAATTACTTTTAACTCACCAAACTTTTTGTGGGTGAAGCTGAAATATTACATTATTAATAAATGCTTAGCTAAATGGATAGACTTAATATATTTGATTATCCTTTTTTAACGCCCAATTTTATGTCGCCTAATCTTTTTTGCGGTTCGTCACTTCACAGGAATAATAATAAATTCTCGTATTGACTCTTCACTTGGCGCCAAGGGGGAGATAATATGACACAGAAGTGGTGTACAAATCAGTAGAAGATTTAGAAAGTGAAACTGTTTCAATTTTTACATATTTTTCCAGGTTTTGTGATTGATTTAACAGAACTTTGTGGTGATTCTGGGAAATTGGAGTATTAAAAGGCATTGCTAAAGTTAAACATAACCTCAATTTTTCACTAAGCAGTAGCAAAATGGAGTTCAAAAGATTTTAATCGATATTTCTAAAAAATATTAAATCATAATTAAAAAAAATTATTATAAAAATAGAACGCAAAAATGCCATTTTAGCGGAAGAAAATCATAAGATATTGTGTGAAAACTTGAATTTTAAAGTTGTCAGTTAGATTTCACTCATTTTTCAGTTAATTTGCAGGGTAATAAAAATTTTTTTAATAAAATATCACTAATTTTAGCCTCTTTTATCGTTTTATTCTATTTAATGTTAATCTATTAATATTCAGTCCTTCATTTTGATATATATTTTCTAAGTTATGTGAATTATAAAGTACAAAAACAAGGGAAAAGTCACTAGGTTTTGAGACCATTTATTTCATACAAATTCTGATCATTTTTTGATTATTTTATTCAATATTTGATTATTTTGCCATTTTACTTGGGAAAGTAATCATTTTTTGATTATTTTTTTCAAATAATTAAATATTTGATTGTGAACATAAAGTTTCCTCAATAATCGCTTTGTGATTTTCCGTTGGTACGAAAAAGAATTTAGAATAGGAATTGACTCATTGCAAATCACGATTCTGAAAGCTGAGTGGAAAAGAAAAATTGTAACCTCAAATTTTAAATGTGGTGTAAAGATTTTAGCCATATTATCTCCCCCTTGGCTGGGACTTTAGAGAGCAGCTGATATTGCAGGTGGTTTTTGAATATGCTTGATTCAAATAAACGTATAATTTCCTTTGATTTGATCCTATGCAAGCTCTGCTCTGTTGTGCTGTTTGGTCTGATTTGAAGGGAAACACCAAAATCGAGCCACGAATTCAGAGAGAGAGAGTGAAAAACGCGTGAAAATGGCTTTTCGGAAGCGACGGGAGGAAGCGGGATAAATTTATTCGTTATGCGAGCCGCCAAAGTAATCCAGGCGCCGCTATCTCTCATCTTGGGCGGCGGCAACTCTGGTGTCGACACATTTTCCACATTAATGAATGTGTAAATTTAAGTAATTTGCACCATGGCAGAATATATCTACACACATGGGGATGTAAAATGTGTGCGAATGGATATCCGACGGAGGGTGTGGAAATATGATAATGCAGTGTGGCGGCGAGACCACGTGATGAACAATTTTATCAATGCAACAAAATCGCTGATATTCAACATTGTAGATACTGCTGCATTGCGGTTTACACAAATTTTCACGGACGACCGATGGAAAATCCGAAAAGTACATTTAATGCATGTGGCTGAGCAGCATCAGCCCTTAGCGCCATCGATCAGGTCACTGAACATCGTGTGTGTTTTTCAAAGGGGAGAAATGATGGTCAGAAGTGGCGTGCGACTCTGTTGAAGTATTTGGAAGTGTTTCAACATTTTCAATATTGAAAATACCAGTCACTTTCAAAAGGAATCAACACAGTAATTGGAGAAAAAGAATTATTTTCAGCATCTTTCTAGGTTATGTTATGAATTTAAGACAAACTTTGCCACTAAATTACCTTCAAAATCATTCATTTTTGCGCCTAAACTGGTAGAATTTGCATTTTCCGACAGAATTATAATGAAATCTGTTGAAAATCACAAGCTTTCAAGTTAAAACTGTGTTTATTATGCTTAGATTCACCATAACCTCTAAAATATTGTTTCAGGATACAAAATTGTGTATTTCTTACTCCAAAATATCAAATTTCAGCTCATTGTCGATTTTTGAAGCCTTTAAAACGTTCCGAGAAAGTTTCTTTCAAGGATTCTATCCGATATTTTAAGATAATTTCTAGGTTATGTTTCAAAGTGCATCCAAAAGAGCGAATAAAAATTAAAAAACATCAAAATATTCACTGGAAACTTCAAATATTACTAAAATACTGTTTCTCTCTGAGTTTTCAAGCTCATAAAAGTAAAAAAAAGCGTCTTTTTTTGGACAAAGATTCCCAAATTTGAGGTTATGATGAAGAAAAGGTGAAGAAAATAAGGAAAACGCATGTTTTAAGCCGTGCTGATGTTCTGGAAGTGTGAAGGATTTTGCAGAGGAATTGTGGAAGTGTCAGAAAGTAGTGTACAGATTTCAACCACATTATCTTCCCCTTGGTGTTTTTGAAGAGTCGAATAAAGTGAGAACGGCCAGCATTATACACTAATTTTATCTCTTCGCAAAATATGATAATCGATATCGTGGCGATGCTCTTAATTGCCGCTGAAATTGGCCTCAAACACTCGATTTCCCTTCTGACTATTTGCCAATTGATTTTGCCTCCCACTCGAGGAGGATTCACGGATGGAAATTATGCCATTTCCTCTGCCATTTAGTAGAATGAGAAAAGGATTTTCGATGAACGGCGTGAGAGTTGAAATTGAGAAATAAAACTTTAATGCATTGATTAGTGTTTCTGGCAGCCGGCGCCACATTTTACATGAGCCCAGAAGGAATTCTTGTAACCCAAATCTGCCAACTTGGGAATCGTGTGAGTTATTGAGGGGCGTTGGTTGGAGAGAGAGAGAGAGAAAGCCACAAAAACGCCTCCACATTTGGCAAAAATCTCCACTTCAGCCCAACCCAAACCATTCAACATTTTCAACAATCACTTTCCAACCAAGGGCAAATGGGTGGTGATTGTTATTAAAACCCATTTAACCGGCGGAAAGACAGCAGAAATTCAGCAAATTCTCACCCACAACGCAATACGGGGCGAGAAGGATGATGGAAAATGTCCTCGTGTTACCTCTTCCTCAATATGCAAGTTTGTCATTTATTCATGTGTCTTACATACAAATTAACCTATCATATGTCGAGGGAATATATGTAGTTACTTTTCAACATCCTCCTTTTCTCCTTAGACTTTAACACACTATGAAACTTGTCACACTTTGTCTGCTCTACCACATAAAGAAATGCTCTGAAATAGAGTTATTTTTTATCTGTCATATTATATTTGATTTTACTCTCTCTCACAGACCAAAGAATTTCACCATTTACTTTTCTATTTACATAGGAAATTCTCACTCTTTTTTTTTTGCTACCTTACATAATTCAATCTACCTAAAAGGTACGAAAAAATTGTCTTTTAAGTGAAAAAAGTTTGATATTCGTTATTAGTTTCTCATGTTTTCTCTTCTTTTTCACCTCCCCCCCCCCAAAATTCCATACTCCCAATATATATATATGTGTGTATATATATCTCATAGAAAATTTATGAGATATCCAGAAGCTTCTTGCTCTTTGCTATTCATTGTGGGAGGTAAATTTGAAATAATTCATGAGAAATCCTTTTGCAGCATTTTGTAGGATGTTTCACTTACAATTTTGCGGTTCATTTACCATCCAGTGCTTACAGCATTTGATTTCATGTTGCCAATATTCAGAGCACAAGCTAACGTGACCACTGAGATCGTCCAAGATCACCGGCAATGGACAAGGAAGTGGGAGACGGAGGAGAAGATTGTTGCCCAAGCAATTGGATTCCATCTCGAAGATCCTCCATGTTGCATTGCGGCGGGATTCTCACCTGAAAGTTGCCAGAGCACAGGTGAGAGCCAAGCTACGGAATTTATGATTAATTAAATGGTTTTGGTGGTTTTAGTTTGGAAACACCCCCAAAATTGAAATCACACGGAAATATGCATTATTCGAGGGTGAAATTTTCTACATTTGATTATATTGTGTATGCATTTCAAATTGTGATTTAAATTCAAATTTATACAGCATTTACTTGTGCGTATAAAACTGAAGCAAATCTAATTATCATTCATTAATACGGTATCTTAACTTTGCATTTCATTTGTGAAACTATTTCAGACAGATAGTTTTATCGAAATTCGATTTTAGCGGAATTTATTTGAATTACTCCATGAAATTGACTAACCATTGAGCACGTGGACGGTGACTGTGGTCGCGGCGACGTCGGCCAGTGAGCAGGTGTAGTTGCCGGAATCGTATCGATTGGCGTTGGCGATGTAGAGTCGGCTCACAGCTCCGCCGGGCTTCAGGTCAGTCTTGACGCTGCGGGAAAAGCGGCCGTTAGAAAGTGAGCTCGCGGCGAGGCGCGAAAGGGCGCGAATTGTACCTGATGCCGCCGCGGCTGGTGTCGTAGTTGAGCATCCGCTGGCCGTGCTTCCACGTGACGTAGGTCGTGGGCTGCGGCACCTTGCTGATCACGCACTTGAGCTCGATCGTGCTGCCCGCCTTGTAGAACTTGTCGGCGCCGGCGCCGCCGCGCTCGTCCACGATCTCGACGCGCGGCACTGCGAGAGGGAGAGCGGGGGTGAGGCGAGGGTTGGGGCTGGGGGCGGGCACTTACCCACGACGGTGAGGTGCACGAGGAAGACGAGCGGCGGGTGCGAGGACACCTGGCACTCGTAGTGGCCCTCGTCGCGCTCGTTGGCGAACTGGATGAGGAGCTGCCAGTCGTTGGGCGCCAGGTACTCGAGCTGGTAGCGCGAGTCGCTGCTGTAGGTGTGGCGGCCGAAGGTGATGAGCTGCAGCTGGTCCTCTTTCCGGCGCACCCACGAGACCTGCGGAGCAATGGTCTGTCAGCTGTTGGACAGCGCGCGCGAGGCGCTTCTCACCGTTTTCTCCCGCAGGTCGTTCACGCGGCAGTGCAGATGCACGTGGCTGCCGAGCTGCGTGGTGACGTTGGCCGCGGCCGCGGGCTCCTCGAAGAAGGGCTGCGGCTCGCGCGTGGTGGTCTCCAGCGACTCCGCGCTGTCGTCCGTGTCGCCGCCGTCCGGGGAGTCCGTGAAGGGCGACGAGAACTCCTGCCAGAAGCTCTTCGGCAGGCTGTCGAAGGGGTCGCCCTCGCGCGGCCGCAGGATGGGCGGCGGGGGGCCGCGGGCCGCGGCCAAGGCCACCGCCAGGATCAACTCAAGCAGAAGCAGCGTCACTCGTCGTCGCCTCATGGCGACGCTCCTGGACGCCGCTTCACACTGCCAAACACTCTCCCAACGGCCACTGTCTCGGCTCACGAATATGCGATCGCCTGGCCGGCCGCCGCATAACTTCTCTCCGGCTCAGTCCTCCTCTATCCATTCACTTCACTCTATCTCATTGTTCAGCGCCGCATGAGGTTGCGCGAGGATACTTTGTGTCTGACTGGGCAAAAATCCACAAGTCACAGTGGATTTCGTTGAGTGCGAAGTGCCAAGGGGTTTAATTACCTTCTAATTGTCTTAATTGAGAGAGAGAGTGGAGGGAACACAGCATTAGATACCCCCAAAAAATTCATGCTCCAGCTCTAATGAATTATGTAAATTCACCCCCTGAATTCTTTCCCATTCGACTCAACTTGGGAGGCCAGAGAGATAATTTCTTAATATTTCATATTAAGCACACCAGAGGGTAGAATTTTTGGGGGCTCCGGATGGTTGATTATACGTGACTCATGAACTTATAATTTAATAATTAAAAAATTTGCAGTTGAAAAAATTGCGGACAAAATTGGGTTAGCTTGATTAATTAAGAGCGATAAGCGACAGCGTCATGAGGGTTGTGGGGGAAATGGATTGGATGTTTATCAATCCTCACTGGTAATCTGGGTGAATCTTTCGCTCTCGTGAGAATTGTCTCCAACATCCGCACCATTGGATACACTTCATGCACAAATTCACCAATTATACCAAAATATTCATCATCACGTACCGAAAGCTCCTAAGCGTCCTTTAATGGAAAATTCTCCGTTCTATACATGCCAATGAAGTCAATTTCTCATTTCTCATGTTTACGAACATATTTGTTGAACTTCAAGAATTATATTTTATAGTTTGTATTCATGGGAGTGATTGCAAATTACAGTCTTGGCGTAGAGAAACTTCAATCGTTATTATTTTTCTTTATGCATTTGCATTAAGCTGTGCGAGAAGAGAAAATGCGACGTGGGAAAAAGTTATATTAGTAAGATAGATGCGATGCGGTAAAATATACACCACAAAGGATAAATTCATCTTCCCAGTTGCCTTTAATTACTCTTCAGCGCACGGAGTGAAGAATCCCACTTGAGGGCTGAAGAGCGAGCTTTCAGCTACCGTGAAAAGCTCCATGGTTGGGCGGGTGTGAGACTTTTTCTGCATAATTCAATGCGGCAATATCTGTGTTGCCTTAGAACACGATTATCCCATTTTGCAAAACCACTCCTAGTCTTCACCAGTCTCTCTTACATCCCCACACTTTCTACAGTCGGCGAACTTCGTCTACCGCCACTCAGCACAGCGTCAATATTGTAGAAACTTGTCAGTTATGTAGAAGTATTATCACTCTTTCATACAATTACGCCGCTGTTTGCGAGCGCGAACAATTAATTATACATGAGCCGATTTTAATTATATATTGTCACATTTCATGGACATTTGGAAGAAACAACAAATTCGTGTTTTTCGTAAGACTTCAATAAATAAATGTTCAAATTAATGTTAAACAAACAAGTTTTGAAGGTAAGAAAATTCAAGAAACAGTGAAAATTCTTGCTTTTACATTTTTAGATAATACATTAAAAAAAAGAAATAGTGATTTCTAGGAAATGAGCGTAAAAAGTGCCGGAAGAATCTTCAATTCTAGTATTTTGCAATGCTTTTTTCAATTTTATGTTACATGCAATTTTATTATGTTTCCTATATGTTACTTGTATGGAGATAATTATCCTATTTATAAGATTTCACTGTCAGTTGAGCTTTTAAAAATTTCTTAATAAATTTTGAATTTTGAAGTTTTAAGAACGTCTCTCACTCATTAACATATTTTTATTGCACTCAATTTCTCATTTATTTAACCGTCGAAGATTACATACTTTCTTTAAGAACTTGTCGGTTTCACTTTCTTACAGAAATCCACTCACTTTGGGCGAAAAAGTAGACACTTTGTCAGAAAGACTGTTAATTCACGCTGATTTCACCACTTTTTTCCCACTAAAAAGTCACTGCGAAATAGTTTGCGTGATTCAAGAATCGCTACAAGATAGAAGTTGGCACGTTGCCGGAGTGGCCAAAGTCTGTCTGAGACACGACGATGGGAGACGCTGAATCGTCGAAGGATGAGCGCAAACTGCCGTGTGAGTCGCTCCTTTCGGCACAGGACGCTGACGGCGATTTCCCAAAAAATCGAGGGGAAGAGCGAGATAAGGTGGCGCCCTTTGGTGGAGGCGATGGCGTGAAAAGTGCGCAGGATCGGGGAAAAGTTGTACTAGAACACAGTTGGGGAAGCTGTTCAGCAACAGCACCATCAAGCGTGAGAGATCAAGGAGATGAGTAGCAAATTTAATTACTGATAATTTGTGAATTATGTTTTCCTCCTGATTCCCCCCGCGGGGATTCCGCCCAGGATGAACAGGGTTGGCGAAGGACGGCCGTCAATTATTTCAATGCACGCTCAGCATCGGACAATAATTCGATTTTTGACACAGTTGGCATATTACAATCAGTGATAATTATACATTCAAGCACTGTGTGAGCACGGATGAGGTGTTGAGCTTTTCCCGTTGGAAATTCAGCATCATACTGAAAATGATGCTGAATTTATGTATGGTAATTAATCGCTCCTCGCGACTGTCTATTAATTTCCATGTTTATTTAATGCGTCAATATTTTAACAACGCAAGAAATAATATTTGACAGTGCGGCGTGTAAAATAATTTAATACTCAACATCAATTTACTTCACCACGCTGTTTATCTTTTGATGATGACGTGGATGACAGTAACTCTAAGGGCGCTTTTCCTCGTGCTGTTTTTCCCTCCCGAAAGTCGCGCTCTGGGACGGCAAGAATGGGGGGGGGGGCGCAAAGGGAAAGGGTAACACACACACAGCAAAAAAAAGAAGCTCGTCAGAATTTTTATGCGTTCAGACAACTTTCTCAAACACACAAAAAGACCAACGCCGAGGATGAACATGAAGATGGAAAGGAGACCAAACAAAATGTATCCTTTATGGCAGCGCTGTGAATTTTATATTATGGAAATCAAATCACGTTCAGACAACTATCCACTCGTGCTGGTGCAGAGGCAATAAAAACCATCGCCGGGTGAAAATGGGAAAGTCCTCTTAGCAAATCTTGGCCATTCGGGGAAGAAAAACGACTGTGAGAAAAAAACCAGGCAATTCTTCTAATTCCCGAAAAGACTTTCGCCACAACATTTTTACACCATTTCGGCGCGTTCGCTGACTGTACAGAAGAAAAAAAGCTCAGTGTCATTGATGCCAATTAAAAGCTCTTCTCCTCGATGGCACACGATCTGAGGACTTCCACTCGAGAATGACTATTGTGATTTCACGAAAATCGTCAAGCCGGGCGTTCAGTGAAAGTTGATATCATGGCATTGTCGTCAATTAAGTTCTTCAAGAGCAGCGAAGTCGAAAAATCAATTATCAGCCAATATCGCGATGAAACAGCTTCAAAAGGCGGGAATTAAGCGATGAGTTGAGTTTCGATGATCAGAGAATTTAATGAAAATTCACTTAATTATTTTGCATCAATATAGTTTCGACTGTTGCTAAAATTTTCCAAAGGAATTTAACTTCTGGTGGAAGAGATAATTTGAGAGATAACTTCTCTAGAAATACTACAGTTTATCGTATTAAAAACTTTTACACATTTCAATTCATCAACCCGAAAATATACTTTTCCAGCAGTATAAATTTTCCAACAGAAATTTGAGAATTTCCTTGTGTTTTATGCAAAAAAACATAACTTATTCTCTTTGCTTAATTTCAGCAATTTGCAATCATAAATAAAAGAGGAATTAATTTTTATATACAGAAATTTCAGACAAGCGTAAAGCTTCACTCATAGATACTAACAAAAATCACACTTTTGCCTGCCCTGGTTTTTTTTAGATTCCTTAAGTCATCAGCTGTCCAACGATGCCTCATTTGGCGCCCTAGACGCCCAGGTTCTCCTCCTGAAGACTATTTTCCATTTTTCCCCATTTTGCCGCACATATGTGCTCATATCTCGCCCAATTTTCCACGGATTTACCCCAAATTAGGCTCAAATGATAGACATTGAAATTATCTGCTACTATGTAAAACAGTGTGGGAATTTTAAATCACTCCTTGTCTGTGAAAAACGATCTTTTGTGCGCCACTCGGTAAAACATTCGCCGGTTGTTGGCCACATTTTACTAAATATCTTCGAACCGAAAAAAGTTTTATGTCAGAATATTTTTTCTATGTGTAGAGCAGTTCTTGGGCTACATTTCCCCCATACATTCCAAAGTAATATTTCTTCTCCATCTGCCTGAAAAACGAGGTTTTCCCTCGACAAATTTCGCGATCCGAACATGCTAGCAAACTAAGTTTGGACTTCTTTGGATAAGATTTCCAAATAAACGAGGAAAAAAGCCAATATTTCGGCTCACTGGCTATTTAACGTGAATTGTTTGTGTTATTTTTGGAGTTGTTGTCATTAAGATCAAGTTTATTTCAGACATAATGCTGAACTTCTTTTCGCAAAGTTTCCACGCCTTCCCGATGAAAATCAAAGGAAAAAAAACGCAATTTTGTTAAATAAAATGCGAGATTGATTGTAATATAGATGAGGAGTTTCTCCATTTATTATTGACGGGTATATGTATGCATCCATGGGGAAAATGGGGGTGTGGTGTGAAGGGAAGCGAGTGGATTCCACTATTGTGGCTGTGATTGAGGGCGCACGGAGAAAAATGGGGCGGCGGAAGGGGATGAAAAGAGCGCATCCTGGGGGAGAACATCGTGAATATGAGATGCTGAACCAATTGGAAATTGCGAGATATATTTCATGAAATGTTGTGTTGGAGCCAGAGGAGCATATGAGCATAAGATCATGATGTTGCGGCACAGGGAGAGAGAAGTTGTCAGCGAAATGCTCTAGTTTTCCTCTCCCGCACGGCAAAATGCACAGACAAATTTCACCCTTTTTCCCACCCAATTCTTGCCAACGCTCGAGAGTGAGAAAAGTCTCTGGGTATATTTTTCTTGAAGCCACATAACATATGAAACACCACGAGGAGCCCCGAAGACCAAATTCAGTTTGTAATAATTCCATGAGAACATTCTCGTCTTGCTGTTGCTCTCCGCATTTGGAGGTTTCTTTTCTCTATCTTATTTATTTGTGATGTGGTTCAATTCACTGGTATATTGCACTGTGTGAATATTCAACTATTTCCACACAACGCGCGAAGTCTGCGGATGAGCAGACAGTAGGAAGTGGCGCTTTCGCTACTTTCCCACAGCATCTTTCCCATTCCAACCCATGTGCTCATATATTCACCGCCTTTTCTTATAGATGCCGCATAATACGAAAAGCTTCATATGAGATGTCATTGAATGGCGATGTATGGAATATGGAATTTCGCATTCACAGCTTCCTGAATATTTTATTACTCACCACTCTTTTTATTTCCCTACGCTTTCTTCCCGCCGAAAATAAGATAACGCGCCATCTCAAAGCTGTGCCGAAGGCAACAAACACACAATAATAGAGTTAAACTCTTCATTGATGCCAGAAGCAGTGGTTTGTTGTCAAAATTAACTTTACTCTATGTCTTTTGCACATTACTTTGAGCAGCGAAAGCTTTTCACTCGCGCCGTGGAAGCTTATTTTCCTCTGGATGATAAAAAACAGAGACGTAAATCTCAAAATGATGGAAATGACTATGAATATTGTTGAGCCACATGTAGAGCGTGTGAAGTGAGAAGAAATCAACTTCTTCTTCAAGTGTACGAATGACTTATGATGAGATAATATGCTACGACATATTCCAGTCATAATAATTCAGTTTATCACTGCGTGGCTCTCTCACGATGTCAAATGCAAATCACTCCGCAGACGCACATGAGAATATTCAGTGAAAAAGTGTGCAGTTGACAGGCGGATTACGTCTGCATACATATTCAGGTACGTCGATTTGACTGCTTTTCACCTGATGCAGGAAATCGGATTGTTCGGATCTGGTCTCTCCCACACATCCTTCGCAGGTAGCATTCTGATGG